TTATGCGGCAGTTGCTCTGGGCTATCCAGAGGGATGTAATTAAGCAGTATAGTGTCCAATTTCGATCATCAACGGTGTAATTCAATTATGGTGTTATTTGTAGGCTGAATCACAGGGCCTGATCAGGAGGAAGACCAGATCAAAGGTTAAAATGGTACTGGAACTTACAACAATGGTCTTTTGTATTAGAAACAAATCATTTTGACAAGAGTCCTGGGTTTTTTAACAGTCACCTCTTCCCAACTTTCTGCTACAAAATTCTTGGGTTCTAATTAAGTACAGTCACACCCGGGATACACTTATTCAGGTTTCAAGAATCCATCTTAGCAAGGAGTTTCACTTCACATTTCTGCTTCATTTCCTACTTCTGCTTAGAACGCATTTCCTTTTCTCACACCTCCAGAACGGATGAATGCCTTGAGATGATGAGGGTCACCATGTGTGGCCCTGCAGGGGTGTACTTGGCACTTGTGGCACTTGTCCTCCAAGTGTTCCCAGCCTGGTTGCTTCTAGGAGAGATAATCTCTTCCACTATTTGCACTGTTTACATTCATTGGAGGAAGGGGGCACCTTTTTTGCATTAAAGGCTTAATTACATCAACATCGGTATCACATGCCCTAAGGAAAGAGTTTTGGAAAGTGAAGAGTAGCCTATCATACTATAGAGTAATTAATAAAGGGAAAGTCCTTGTTATATAGTGTTATGATTATTCATAATCATTATTCAAGGAATTGTGTCTATTTTAGTAGGAATCCCTGTTGTTTCTGCATAAGTGCTTTCTATTTCGGGCATGCAGGAAGCCCATAAAAATTTCTTCCACTGAAATAAGTGTAATTGTGTTTTCATAAAGTGAGAGAATACAGTCCTCGGCACTTGCTTGAGTACTTTAACAGATGCAAAAGCAACTGAGTGCTGAAAATGTTGGTGGTGCTACTTGACATCCTTCCACTTCAAATGAATGAGAGAATAGAAATTTTAAAAGGACGATTTTAATGTTAACACAAAAACGTCACTTCTGCAGGATCTGTGTATCATGATTTGCTGCCACAATCTTCAAACTTTCTTTCAGCTGCTCCACCCTTAAGCAAAGGAGCCCTCACTTGTAAGTCGAATGTGTAAGAGAAGAGAGCAAAGCCATTGTGGCCAAGAGAAGGGGAGGGTGCGGGGGTGGGTGTGGGGATGGGTAAGAACAGGACTGGACCCTCCACCCAGTTAACTCTCTTCTCCTGTAGATGGCCCCACAGAACCCCAGGGCTTGGCTACACTTCGGCATAAAACCAACCCAGGAATGAATGGAGCCCAGAAGAGGCTCAGATGGCCCTGGACTCAAATCTTAGTTCTGTCATTTACCAGCACTATAGCTTGGGCAGCAAAAATAATGTCAGTAGTAATATCAACAAAACCAAGAGTAACCTAGACCAGCTGAGCACTTGCTAAGTGCCAGGCATTGTGCTAAATGCCTTCTTTGCCTTAATTTAATCCTCCCAATAATATGAGATGGGTACTGTTATTGCCACGGTTTTATATATGAGGAAACTGAGGCTCAGAGAGGGATTAAACGATTCACGCAAAGATTCCACAGCTAGTAGTGAGTGGCTGAGCTGGGATTCAAATCCCCACAACCTATCTAACCCTGCAGTCTACATTAATTAATTACAAAAATCCCTAAGCTCTGTGGCCCAATTTGGCCCAGCCAACTTGAAAATGAGGATGGTTTTAATAATCTTGAGGAAAAGTATCCCACACAAAAGCATTCAGTAATTATCATTCTTTTTGTTGCAAATGGCATAGAACATATGCCCTCCAGACACTCGCTAATAACCTCAGTGTTGCATTCTCTGTCAAAGAGCTCCTGTCAAACGTCTGTGTGAGCCAATTACTACGTAAGAGATGGCTCACAGAAGGTACCAACCACCGACTCTTTGAGAAAATTAGTGATTATTCCAAAAGAATCAGCCAAACAAAGGTACAAGTAGAGAAAATAATCAGCGAAGTTCAGCAAGCAGCCAGATAAAGCACAGGCACAGAAACCAATAACTGCCTCCTAATCAGTGAAAAGGGGAGCTGATTCACAAAAGTAAATAAAATACACGTGACAAATATCTATTAAACCCCTATTCTGTGTTGCACTGAAGATGCAGCAACAAATCCTCTGTCATCATAGAGCTTACATTCTGATGCATGAGGCACATAATAAAAAAAGAGACGAATATGAACGTAATGGGTCAGATGGTGATATGTGCTATAAAGAAATAAAAAAAGGATAAAAGGACGGGGCTGATGTGGGGATGCTATATTAGAGAGTGTCAGGGAAGGCCTCAGACACGGTGATATTTCAGTACAGATCTGACCTGAGTGTACTTGGAGGAGAACACTGCAGCAGAGGGGACAGCGAGCACAAAGGCCCTGAGACAGCCAGTGCTAAAGTGAGACAAGCCAGATGGAAAGTGTAGGGGGTACAGCCACAAAGGCAGCCAAAGGCCAAATCGTATAGAGTGTTGCTCGTTATGACGGGGACTTCAGATTTTTTTTTCTTTCAGATGTTGGGGGTAGGAGTTTATTAATTAATTAATTTATTTTTGGCTGTGTTGGGTCTTCGTTTCTGTGCGAGGGCTATATCTCTAGTTGTGGCAAGCGGGGGCCCCTCTTCATCGCGGTGCGCGGGCCTCTCACTATCGCGGCCTCTCCTGTTGCGGAGCACAGGCTCCAGATGTGCAGGCTCAGTAGTTGTGGCTCACGGGCCTAGTTGCTCCGCGGCATGTGGGATCCTCCCAGGCCAGGGCTCGAACCCGTGTCCCCTGCATTAGCAGGCAGATTCTCAACCACTGTGCCACCAGGGAAGCCCGGGACTTCAGATTTTTATCCTGAGATGGGAAGCCATTGAAGAGGTGTGGGGAGAGTGATGTGATTTGATTATTCTGCTGCTCTGTGGAAGACAGGCTACAAGGGGGCAAGAGCAGAGCAGAGACTGCTCAGAGACCATGCATTAATCTTGGAGACCCCAGGCAAGTCTAGGAGGCATGCACAAGCCTTAGTTAGACAATGATGGGTGAAATAAGGGCCTGAATAAATGAGAACTCCGCTGTGTCCCTAGAGAAGACTCAGCATGGTAAAGACTTTTTGTCCCTCATTAATTTATCAAGAGCTAATATTTTATAGTGATTACTATATGCCAAGCTTTGTTTTAAGCACCTTACACGTATAAGCACAGCAACCTTCTTAGGTGGGTTCTATTATTATCCCCATTTTAATATGAGGAAATGGAGGCATGGTTCATGCAGGTAACTTGAGGCAGAGCTAGGATGTGAACCAAGCAGTCTGGCTACAGATGCTCCCCCGACTAACCCACAAAGAATGCCTTGGAACATCTTAGACCACCTCTCTGCAAAACTCCCATGTCTGTTCCAGAGAAGTCCAGGGAACCCTTCCAGAAGAAGCCTGCCAGGGTGGAGGCCTAAGGAAATGGGAAAAGGAGGCAGCATGTAGTACTGGAAGGGAATAAGGATGGGTGTCCCGGGTTCCACATGACCCACACCAGGGCCCGCCCTCCACACCCATTGCAGAGCCCCAACCAAGGCAAGGCCCCGAGGATCCAGACATGTAGTCCTCTCCCACAGACAGAGGGGATTTTGCCAG